CGCCTGCCGTGTCCTGTGCTCCCGGGACTGGTGTGGGCGACGCAGCGCGTGGGCCCGCCAGCGATCCCCCCGCCTTTGCTGCCAAGGGGTCTGACACAGCATCCCGTCCGACTTAGCCCCTTCTCCGTTCTCTGCTGGGCCGAAGGAGGCCCCAGAGCTCAGTGCCCCAGTTTCTCCCCAGCCGAAAGGAGCTCTAGCTCGCCTCCTGCCCCTCCGATTCAGCTCCTATTTTCTACCCGGTTTATTTTTTCAGCAAAACCCTCTCCTCTAGCATTAAACCTATTGCATTCTGGTCGTGAGTAAGCCGACAGGCCGAACTCCTCTCTCATACACATGCTCTATAGCTATAACTTTATTATAGAATTTGCAAAGCAAACAATTGCCGTTTATAAATTGCATCTTCCATACGATTAGTCAGTGAGGCTGAGGGGAGCTTTCTGGAGTTAATGGAAGCCATCTGATGTCCATGTTAATTCCCAGCCTTTTTATTCTAGTTTGTAATAGGGCTGGGAAGCTGAGATGAGTAGGCAAGGTCCTAAGTGGGACTGACCTGCTTGGGCTGAAAAACATTGAAAAAAGTATCTTGAATGAAGACCACTTTGGCTGTTAACCCTGGGAAATTTTTTTTGACTGGATCTCAGTTATCTTAGGGAAAATAGAGCACAGCTTTGCTCTGGGCTCTGCCTTGTTGCTTTGAGCCTGACCCTTCCTGTGAACTCCCTGATTTTTTGGGAGGGGGCCACAGGGGCAGCGGTTTCAGGGATGCAAAAGTCTCAGAAGGGAAAAATCCACCTAAAAAGTGAGGGATTTTAGGGGAAGGAGGGAAATGAGTGGAAGGAGAGCTGCTTAGAATAAATGCCACTAAAACCGGGCCCTGGTTGTTCTTCTGAGCCGGAGGAGCCGCGCAGGGGTGAGCGTGCGAGGAGGCGTTGTCTGTGCCTGGGGCAGAGGTTGGGGAGGAAGAGGCCGCGCAGCTACCGGCGCTGGCAGCGTAGGCTCGCTGCCCCGAAACGGCTGGAAGGAACCTCCTGGCTCAGTCGGGCAATTAGCCGCTGCGGTTTAAATAGCCCGGTAGAGCCAGGGGTTGCCAGGCCTCCGCCTCGGCGTCGCCCCTCTGGAGTCGGCGCGGGAGAAGCGGCCGGTTGTCTTCTCTGACCCGCTTCCCCTCCCCGCGCAGCCGTCGAGCGTGCGCCGCGGAGGCGCCGAGCCGGCCGGCCGCCGTCCCGCAGTCCCCCGTGCAGCC